TAAAACAAAAAAAAAAAAAAAAAAAAAGAAAATATAAATAATTTATATTTACTTTTTATAAAGATCTATTTTTTTGAATGATTTTTGATATAGAAGGTAAAAGATCTTTAGTATGAGAAATATTTAAGTATTTTTTTAATGTACACATAATTGTATAAGCAGCTAAATATTCATCTAATTCTTCTATATTTATTCTATAATAATAATAAAAAAAAAAAAAAATAATAATTTATATGTATATATATATATATATTTTTTTTTTTGTTATAAAGGAGATATTTACTTATTCTTTATTTTTTCATTTATTCCTTTTGTTGATACTAATTCCTTTATTTTATTTTCAATCTATTAAAAAATTATGCATAAATGTAAATTTCAATAGATAATAATAAAATAAAAAAAAAAAGAGAGAGATTATTAAAAATAAAAATATATTTATGTAATATTCTAACCTCTTGAAAATTATCTGTTTTACTTAAATTTAAACAAGTTGTTATAGATCTAATAAAATAAGACTGTGTTTTAAGCTAAAGAAAAAAAAAAAAAAAAAAAAAAAAAAAAAAAAAAAAAAAAGTTAATAAATCCTAAATCAATAAATAGAGCGTAGAAATATTTATTTTACAAATTATTATAATCACTTTAAAGAAGGATATATTAAATACTAAAAAATATATAAGAATTAATAAAAATAGGAGTTACCTTAGAATTCATAGAATTCATATGTGATATAATATTGTTTATTTTATCTATATTATAAATGCTCATATATGTTTTAATTATTTTACTAATAATTTCTTTTGAATGTTTATTAATAATATACTCAGCTTTCTCATAAGAGTCCTGAGAAAAAAGAAAAAAACAATTAATATGATGAAATTTTTTATTATTTTATTATTATTTCTTATTTAAATCTTGATATTTTAAAATTCATATTTATTAGGTGCATATATTCGTAAAAATAATATTTTATATTCAGATAATTTACATTGGAGTATTTGGATATTTCAGAATTTTTTTCATAAAGATTTTTCATAATATCTAAACATTTCTCATCTATTTGATTTTTTTTAACATCTTTTAAATCAGATTGAAATATTAATAAAACATTTTTTCTGAAAATGTAATATTTTTTCCCATTTATATAATATGTTTTCCACTTTTTTATTACATCTATGCATTCATTAAATTTTACTGATTTCAGTGAAACTAATGAAGCCACATTATAATAAAAAGAAGTAAATAAAGGAAATTGTTCATATACAATAAAAGATAAAAATTTTACAAATTGAATTATGACAAATATATTATCAGTTTTTAAATCATTACATATGTTTATGAATATTTTAATCAATTCTACTTTTTCATAGTTCATTAAGTTTTTATATAAATAATGATTATCTTCATTATTTATAAAATTACTCTTAGAATTATTAAGAACTTGTTCTGATTTTTTTTGAAAAAGATCAAAATCATTTTTATAATTATTATATGTATCAGTCATATTAAAATTTTCTATATACAATTTTACAAAATCATTTAGATAACGATGTTGTGATACTTCATCAACACCGTTTATTATATTATTATTTACACTATTAATAATATTGAATAAATTATTATCATTTACTAAATAATTTTCATTCTTTGTCACATCTCTATTTGTTGTCGTTAAATCATGATTCGAAGAAATGTTATTTATTTTCTCTATTTCCTTTTGAAAAAAAAGACGGTTGAATTTATTAAAATCATCAAAATTATTCTTATTTGAAGTATAACTTAAATTTACATTATTAGAATTTTTTGGGTAATTTTTGTTCTCATTATAATTTAAACATGAATAGTTATTTTCTACATCATCCTTATTTTTGTTACAATATTGGTTATATGCATAATCACTTTTTATATTATCCACTTTTTCTTTAAATATATTTTGATAAACTTGAACTATTTTTTCTGATGTATCTAACTGATTCTTTATATTCTGAATTTCTTGATTTTGTTCTAGTTGTTCAATTTTCTTACTATATAATTTTTTTTGGTTTTCAAAATCTCTTTTAATTTCATTCATCTCATTAACTAAATTTTCATATTTTATTTTATAATTAGAATCATTTAAAATTTCATTTACTTTTAACCCTTTATTTTTTTCTATGCAACTGTTATTTACGTTTTTTTCAATTTTATTTTTTTTTAATTTTTTTTCTTCATTTAACAATTTATCATCAACAGCAATTTCCTTTTTTTTTTTTTTTTTTTCATTTTCTGCTTCTATTTCTTTTTTACTATTTAACGAAGTTTCATTTTTAATTTCCTTTTCATTCTTATTTAATTGTGTTAATACATTTAATTTTCTATTGGATATAATCTTTTCTTTTTCTTCGTTTTTTATTATATCTTTTAAATTTCTAATTTCTTTGTTTAATGAATTTATTTGTATTTCATAATATTTAGAAATGTCAAAGCATTGCTTATCTATTAAATTCATATATTTTTTATTTAAAACTTTTTTAATAACTTTATTAGCATCATTTTTGCAGTTATCTATTTCTTCTAATACAACTTGGTATTGTTTTTTTAATTTTTCAATTTCGTTTTCTTTATTTATTATTTTGTTATTTAAGTTGGTAATTTTATTTTTATATATATTTATGTCTTTTTCATAACTTGTGATTTTTTTTGTTTGTTCTGTTATTTTTTTACTTAAATTCGCTCTTTCTTTAATTTCTTTTTTTTTTAAATTTTCATTTTTCTGCTCTATTTCTACTTTTAATTTTTCATTTTCTTTAGTTAAGTTTTCTATTTTTTTTTCATATTCGTTAATATTATTAATTTCACTTAATAGATTATTCATTTTATTATTTTTTTTATTATTTTCATTTAATAAATAATATATTACATCTATACAACTATATAATACATTTTTACATTTAATTTTCTTTTTTTTTAAATCATTTTCATTAATTTCAATAATCTTATTAACTTTACTCATTTTTAAATTGTCATTTAGTTTTCCTATTTCTAGAAAATCTTCTTCATTAAATTCATCTATATCAGTTCTTTTATTTATTATAGATACATAATTTTTTTTTTTATTTACATTTTGTGATAAATTAATATTATCAAAATTTTCTGTATTATTAATATTCTTAATTATATTTTCTTTAATAATATTAATTAAATCATTTTCTTGTCGATATTCATACTTGGAACCCATATTTTTCTGAGAAAAAATTACTTCTGATTTTATTTCTTCTTCTGAATTTATTTTATTTTCATTTATACTTTTCTTCTCATTTTTATAATAATTATTACAATTTTTTATATCAATATCATTTATATTATTATTTTGATTATACTCCATTTCGTTTTTATCACTTATATTCATTTCATTGTTTGATATACTTATATTTATTTTTTTTAAAATATCATTTTGTTTATCATTTAATATTTTTTCTACAACACTATTTATACTGTTTTTTATCTGGTCTCGTATAAATTTACTGAAATCTTCATTATTAACTTTAGAAAAATTATCAATTGATGTTCCAGTATTTTGTTCGTTTGGATATTGAGAATCAAAAATAATACTTTTAATATCATTCATATTCATATTAATATTATTAAAGTTATTTTTTAAATAATCAAAACAACTTTTCTTTAAATTAGATGCATTATTTTTATCTATATCTAAATTAATATTATTCGCTTTAATCATATCAGCACTTTTTGATTCACCTATATCATTATCTTCTTTATAACCAAAATCGGCAGTTTCACTTAATTTATTTGTTATATTTTTATTTGTTGTACGAAAAATTCTTTTTTCATCTATTGAAGAATTATTATAATCATTCGTTTTTATTTCACATATAGTTTTGTTTATATTTCCTAATTCAGGTGAATTTTTATTATTTAGTGAAATATTGTAATAAACTGAATTATTCTCATCATATACGTTCTTATTATTTTGATTAACGTAATTTATATCTATGTTATTATTCTCACTTATATTATTTTTACTACTTGCTTCATATTTATATGAATCTTTTTTTTTTAAATTTAAATCATGATATAAATCGCTATTGAAATTTTTTATTATATTATTATACTTTACATACTCACTTGTTATATTCTTATTAGAACAATTCTTATATATATTATTTATTTCATTTGTGTTTTTTTTATCAATCGTCTTATTTGACTTTATTTTATAGGAATCTTCCTCTTTTTTATTTAAAATATTTTCCTTTTCACAATCATTATGATAACTATTTTCATTTATTTCACTTATATTAATTTTTATATTATTTTGTGTTTCCAATTTAATTAAATCATTATTCTCACTTTTGTTTAAAATGTTCTCGTAGTTTTTATAATTATTTGAATATACCTTTTCTTTATAATTTTTTGAATTGTTGTATATATTATAATTAATTTCATTAATATTACTACTGTTATTATCTTCGTAAAAATATTTATTATTCATATTTGCATATTTCTTATTAGTTGTTACAACATTTTCATCATCTTCATATTTTTTGTTATTTATATTATTCTCATTATTATAACTTTTATAGTCACAATTATGATTACTATTTACATTATCGCTGTTATTTAATATTTTTTTATTATCAATGTTATCATAATTTTCTTCATTAAAATTATCCACAAAACTGTTTTCTTTACTTATTTTATATTTTTTTAAATTATTAGGTATTGTACTGCTTTTTGTATTTAATTCTGAATCTAAATTTTTGCATAATGTAATATTAGTTTTATTATTAGTAGTAGTATTCTCTTTTATCTCTTTTTCAATATTTGAACTAACTAAAATTGTATTTTTAATATTTTCATCATTTTTTTGAGAATTTTCAGTAATTGAATATAATTTACTTCTATAATTTTCAATAACCTTATCATATTTTTCTTCATTAGAATTAATATTTGCTACATTACTTGAATTCGAATTATCTTTATATTGTTCTTCTTCTATATTATATGGATTCTCAAATGAGAAAGATTTTATTTCGTTTTTATAATTTGACATACTCGCATTACTTTCATTATTATATTTTAATTCCTTAAAGAAATTCATTTTAAATGTTTTTGTGTTCATTATGTTAAATTGACCATTAATAAAATTTTTATCTGTAAAACTGACATCATTATTAAAGAATCTTTTATTACTGTCACTTTGCTTTATATTATCATTTTTTTTATTTTTTTCTTCAAGCATATTTTTATACTCTTCTTCTGTTTTTATAAAATTGTATTTTTTTGAATTAAAAAGTTTATTATAAATATTATTTTCACTACATTTGTTATTACTTGTGATGGATGCAATATCATTATCGTTAGTACTCTTCTCATTATCTTTAAAAGTTTCCTCTATTTCTGTATTGTCTCTTTTTTTTAATTTTTTTTGTTTTGAAGTTTCATTATCATACATATTTGAATCCTTTAAATAATAGTTAATATAATAATTTTTTGCTTCTTTATTGTTATTAATTTCTTCTTTTTCATGAGAATTGTCTTTTAATTTATTTTCTGCATTCTCAGTATCATTTGCATATTTATTTTTAGCTTCACCAGCTAAATAGTAAGTTATGAATGGAGTGTTTGTAATATCTTCTTCTTTTAAATTTAAAGGAGTTTCTAATTCGCTCATATGCATCTTCCCTGCTGTTTCAAATTTTAAATATTCAAAATAACTTTTTGAAAAACTTTTAGATGGTGTTTTGTTCATATCAATTTCATTTATATCTATTTTGTTTAAATTTGTAAAAATTTCATCTTTGCTATTATCATTACTTTTTATTTTATTTAATATGGATTCCGTACTAGGAGTTTTAAAAATTTTTAACTCATTATCAAAAATAATATTTTCTGTTTTTTTTTTTTCTTCAATTTCATTTTCAATATAATCATTTACTATATTATTGTTATATTTATGTATATTTTCAAATGATTTTTTATATAACGATGTTTTATATTTATTTTGAAGTTCTGTGTTTTTGGAACTTGTTAATTCGTTTTTAAATTTATTATATGATATATTATCTACAACATTTTCACTTGTATCTTTTACAGTATTATATTTATTATGTGAATGATTATCATATATATTATTTTTATTATTAATATCAGAACAGTTATTATTTGAATAGTTATTTATGTTATTAGTAACATAACGACTATCTACATAATTAACATTAACTGGGTAACTATTTTTATCATAAACATTTAAATCATTACTTGCTTCGTGTTTATCTTTATAAATACTATGTTTATTTGAATATATATCACTTTTATTATCAATAAATATATCATTATTATTATTATCCTTTTTTTCTTCATTTTCTATTTTGCTCAAACTATCATCAAGACTTAAAAAAGTATCACTTTTAAATTCATTAGCTTCTTTAATTTGTTTAGCTCTTCTTCTTTTTAAAATATCATCAATTTTTGTACTTGTTCTACTATTTATATAATGTAAAGAACATTTATCTTTATTATAAAAAAAATCATCATCACTCATTTTTCTTATTTCTTATTTTACACAATTTCATATTTTTACGTATTAATATATTCATTAAAGAATTCTTAATTACCTTATTAGTATTTATTCTATTTTCTTCTTATATTATTAATAATTATTACGTTTAAACATTTATTTAAATTAAAAATTGTTTAACAGTTTAATTTTTTCTTTTTTAAATATTTCATATAATCATACAAATATTTAGTATAATTATTTTTTTTTTTTTTTTATTTTTTTTTTTTTTTTTTTTTTTTTTTTTTTTTTTTTTTTTTTTTTTTTTTATTCCCCTCTTATGTGTTTCTCCTTTACAAATACAAAGATTTTTTATATAATTTTTTAAAAATACATAAAACATGAAACTATGTGTAATTTAATTATATTATTCTAATTTTTTTAAAAAAAAAATACATTATCAACAATGCTATTATTTGAAATAATTTTTGCATTTGTTAGACTCTTAATAATAATTTTTTTTTTTTCTTTAAAATAAAAGAAAAAATAATACTCTAACAATTTTTTGTATATAATAATAATAAAATATATATATATATATATAAATATTTATAATAGAAAATATTTAAATTATTTTGCAAGTTACAAAATATTATTTGGTAAAATGTATACATTTTACACAAACTAATTATTCTCAAATATAAATATTTTTCTCATAACTTTTTCAAAATAATTAATACTAATACCTTATCTAAATTATATATATTATTAACATCATAATTGAAAGAATACAAAAGATTAAAAAATATTTTTATTTTGATAAAATTTAAAAAAAATAGAGAATACAAAAAAATATTATATAAGTGTTAAATATTTAAACTTATAATTAAATAGTAAAAAAAAATTTCCAAATTATTTAAACTTAAAGTATTTATAAATTATTACAAAAAATTTTTTATAATTAAATATTTCACTTTAATAAAAATATTTGCAATTGCCTTAAAATATTAACTTTTATTTAATTAAAAATGCGTTATTATATGAATTCAAAAAAAAAAAATTTTATCAACCTTAAAAGATTGAAAATAATTTTTTTTTAAATTATTAAATCCTTGTATGATATGTAGAATAAATAAAAAATACAATTGAATTTAAAAAATTAATTAATCTATAGAATGCATATTTGTTTTTACTAAATATTTTCTTAAATTTTTTGAATAAAAATTATAAAAAAATAATATTTAAAAAATTTTTAGACAACTTTAATTTTTCAAATAATTTTTGTAATATATTTGGATTATTTATTTTGTTTTTTAATTGAGGCTATTTTTAGTATACATATATGTTTTATCTTTCTTTTTATTTTTAAATACAAAATATAAATTAAAAATAGTTGATACTTTATATATAAAATTTTCGTATTTTTAAAAGTATTAAAGTTTTAAAAATTTTATATTTAATAATGTTTAAAAGTTTATAAAATAGTTTTCATTTTACAGAAAAAGGCCAAATATGTTTTTAAGATAAATTAAAAAAAATTGTTACATTTTTAAGAAACATAAAATAGGAAAAAAAAAGAAAAAAATAAATAAATAAAATTAAATAAAATAAAACTAAATAAAATTCATAACTTTATGTTATTCAAAATTTGCCAAAATAAGAAAAAAGATTAGAACTTTTTTCTGGTTTTTAAGAAAAAATAATATATTAATAAGTATGTGCAAACTTGTTGATATAAAAGACATATATATTATTTATATTTTTTACATATTCAAAAAAAAAAAGTAAAAATATTGAAAAAAAACATGAAATATTAAAAATGTTAAAAAAAAAATAAAATATAAATTAATTATCTTTTTTTTTATCAATAAATTGTATTAATATAGGTCTAGATAAATTTTCTTCATAATTTTCTAAATGCTCAGAAAGTATAGGTTTTTGCATAATATTAATGTATCCCAGATTAGCTAAATGCAAAGTAATATAAAATAAAGTAGAAATTTCACTTTTCGACTTTCTATTTTTTGTAATTACATCAAAAAAGACATAATTAATTTTTTTAGATAAATTTTTATAAACCTCTAATAACTCTTTTGTTATTAAATCAAAATCTTGGTTTAAGTTTACGTTGATTTCTAAATTATTATCGTCTATTATAGAACTTATAGAACTGCCATTCTCTTTATTAAAAATGTTAGAAAAATCATAATTTGAAGAAAGTGATAAGTCTAATGGAGATGAATTAAATTCAGAATTTATTTTTTCATTAACAAAATTTAGATTGTTTAAATCGTCACTTTTATCTATACTACTCTCTCTATTTATTACTAAACTTTTTGACATTTGACTTTCTAAATTTATTTTAGAATCTACATCATCCTTAAAATTCAAATCATTCAAATTTAAATCTATTTGTTCATTTTGGGATAGCAAAGGATCTATACTAAATCTATTCTTATAATCATTTGCATTCATATTCTGTGTTTCAAATTGTATATCATTAAATTCTTCTCTTACTTCCTCAAAATTCATGTCACTTTTCATTGTTCCATCATTTTCCTGAAATGATAAAAAGTTATTAGATAAGGTATCGTTCTCATTATGAACCATATGCTCATCAATATTATCTAAACATTTCTTTATATTAAAGTGTTCCAATACATTTTTATTTTCGTATAATACTAATTTATTGTGTAATAGATAACTTAAGTGATTTTCAAATAATGTTTTTTTTTTATTATAATCCAAAGATTCATATCCGAAATTTATTTCTAATTTATATACTGGTTTTATTTTATCAGTTGTTTGTATAGAAAAATATTGAAACTCTGGAAATTCCTTCTGAATTTTTTCATTTATTTCATTATTTATAGTATCAATTAAAAAGTATTTATAATCTACTCTTTCATCTTTCATCATTCCTTTTATTATTGAGTCTTTTAAAATATAATTTTTGTCAATTATATGTTTTTCTAATTTTCTTTTTTTCATTATTTGATTTTCATTACCTCTCAAAACTATCTGTTCATTTTTATTATCATATTCATTTAATAATATTTGATTATTTTTATCATTATTATTGTTTATAGAATTCAAAAAATTTTTAGAATTTTCTTCGTCTTGGATTATTAATTTATTCATATCATTTTCATCATTATTTTTGTCATTTTCATTATTATCTGTATTGTTTTTATTTTTTTTGTCATCCTCACTTTCATCTAAGCCAAGTAATGAATTTAGTTTCTTAATAAAAGCATAATCATCTTTTTGATCAAAATAATCAAAATTTTGATAAGTTTCAAAATTTAAAAAATTTGAATAACCATTTTTTTTTGAGATATTCTTTTTTTTTTGAGGGCTAAAAATACTACCTGCAATATTACTTGATGCATCTACGTCACCATAATTATTAATTCCATGTGAAAAATGAAAATTGTTTCTAGTCTCTAAATTATTCAATGAATTCATGCTTATAAATGGATTTAAATTATAAAGATCATTTCTATTATTTATTGTATTATTCATATTATTAATACCTCCTATGAAATTATTAATGGGAATATGATGAAAATTATGAAAATCTTTTGGTGTATTCGTACCATTAAAATTGACATTCATATTTTGATTATTATTAATTATATTTTCGTACCCATTTGAATTTTCCTGATTGCTCATAATATTGAATGGGTATTCTTTATCATTTTTATAATCTGGAGAATTCAAATTATTCATATTTGCGTATTCATTTATATAATTATTATTAGTTACATTCGCATTATCATTAGAATAATTGTTTTCTAAATTATTATAAATGTTAATAGGTGATAACATATCACTTTTATGAAGGGAATTTAATTCTAAATTATTGTTATATTCACTCATGCTCTTTTCATTAAAAGAATTTTCTAGATTAGAAAACATATTTTTTGGTATCATATTATTCAATAAAGAATTCTGTGCATTCAAATTATCCATAGGATTAAAAGATTCAGATAGTTGTCTATTTAAATTAAACCTTTCAAAATTATTCATAGGAATACTATTTCTTGAAATATAAGATCCATCCAATGGTTTTTCCATATCATGATCATTAAAACTAAGGTAATTTAACCCTGATATATCCATAAGCATTTGATTATTCATTTCATTTTCATTAAAAAAATCATTATAAGTATTTTGCTGAGTTCCACTTATGCTTATTTCATCTGCGTTTAAAGAAAAACGTGATTTTCTTTTAGCAAAATCATTAATTACTGAAGGTAATAATTCATTCATGCCTATAGATCCCCTTTTTATATTAAGAGAAGTTCTATTTAATCTTTTTTTATTCTTATTTTGTTCATCATCATCTTTGCTGCCTTTCTTTCTTTTAGAATCCTTATTACTTATGAATTCGCTTACATTTTCATCTTTATTTTTGTAAAGGGAAATTATTTTCCTTTTTAAAAAATCATAATCTTGACTTACAAAATAAACTTTTTTTTTATATATATTGCATACTCCAATAAGTAAAAATGAAAACGTTTTTAGTGTCAAACTATTATTTTCTACACCTCTTAATATTTCATCACAAATTTTGCTTAAATCACAACAAACCATAATATTTTTTTTTATTTTATTCTTATCAAAATATGCATTCCATGCATAACTCAATACATTATTTTTAAATGAATTTCCATAAATAATAATTTGATTATTATGATTATTATAATTATTTTCTAAATTTGTTTCTTCTCTTTCAATTATACTCCTACTTCTTTTAATTCTTGTTTTTAATGCTTCTGGTTTCTTTAACACTTCCATATTTTCATACAAGTATTCGATTTAAAAGCTTTAATAATGCAAATTTTTGTATTTCTCACTCAGTTCAATACATGAAGATAAATATTTAAAAATTAGATATTTTAAAAATTAATTCAGTATATTCAAAACTTTTAAAAAAATAAAATAAAATAAAATAAAAAAAAATTGTATGCTTATATATATAATGTGAAAACAAAAAAAAAAAAAAACATATAACAAATGAAGTTAAAAAAATCCTAAGTAATGCCAATTAAAAAAAAATTTTTCAATTTTAAAAATATTTATATAAAAAAGATAAAAAATAAATTTCTAGAACAAATATAACAAATATATTCTTATTCTAATTTTTTATTTCATTAAATATTTTTTTAGGTGCATATGAAATATTAAATGTAAAATAACGCATTAAAAAGAAATACGCATTTATTATTTAATTATTTCTCTATATATCAAACTAATAAGGTTAAAAATTTATATTCTATTAATTTTTTTTTTTTTTTTTCATTTTATTCATGTGTTAATATAGATATATTATTCTTTACAATTACTGATCTTGTATTTTTATATGTCATTTGCTATATTAAAAGTATAAAGCATCCTTCGAAATTTTTAATATCAAAAGTTTTTTTTTCAGAAATTAGGAAATAATATAAAAAATGTATCTCTTTTGTAATGTAATAATGCTATTATTTCCATTCATATTATTAGCATTTATTGTTATATTATTCTTAAAAAAAAATGTGTGCGGAATGAAAAAACAAAACAAAAAATATTAAAAAAACAAATATGCCAGAAGAATATTTTATATAAGTAAAAGAAAAAAAAAAATAATAAATTCAAAAATATGTTTTATTTAAAATTTTAAAATCTATTCTTTATTATTTTTTTATAAAATATAATGTATATATATTATAAAAAAAAATATGATTCTCTCTTTTGAAACTTTTATGTATCTTCTTTGCATAATTATTTTTATAAAATTTTCTAAAAAACATATGCACCATTTCACATTTTTTTTCTTTAAGACACTTATCTTTCATGTAATAAAAGAATATAAATATGTATTTTTAATATATCTTAAAAACGGGAACAAAAAAAAGTACATAAATATTAAAAATTTTCTAAAAAATAAATGTAAAAAGCATTAAAAAAAAAAAATATAAAATAATGTCTGCATTGTTCATAATTTCTCTTTAATTTTTATTTTTTTTAAATTTTTATTTTTTTTTTTTTTTTTTTTTTTTTTTTTTTTTTTTTTGGTAAAGCTAAGATGGTTAGCATATAAATATTTCATGTACTACGTTAGAAAATACAGTTGCATATTTCTTTTTTCCACAACATTGTTCTTCAAATTAAAAATATTGTTATAAATATTATTGTCACAATAAATCCTGTAGTGAAACAATAATTTAATAATTCTATTATTCTTTATGGCTTTATTAAGGGATATTTTATATATACGCTTGCATTTTATAAAAAAAATATATAGGGCAAAAAAATCGTGTTTATTGATAAATATTATTTATATTATTTTTAAAATTTGCTAAAATATCTTATTAAGAATACATAATCTACAAATGATAAAAATGTTCTTTTTTCTTTAAGCTTATGATAATAATAAAAATAATCCTATACTTTTATAAAATAATTTTTTTTTTTATCTTTATTCAAAATGTTTTAAAATAATGAAAAAATAACTTCACAAATCCTTTTTATTTTTTTTTGGAATTATATATATATATACATAAATGAACGTTTAATATTGGATATGCATTTCTTTTTCTCATTAATGTAATTTTATTTTATATTAAAATAATTTTTTCTTTTAATGTATTATGTTAATTTTTTTTTCTTTTTTTTTAAATATATTTATTTTTTAATTGTTTCTATCTTGTATGGCATTTGTTGATTTTTATTTTTGAATATTATTAATTATTATTTCTTTTTTTTATTATATATTTTTTTGAAAAAAATTCTCTTAAAATTTGAAATTATCAAAATCTTAAGTATATGTTTAGCTAAAAAAAAGTTCCAAAAGTATGCGAAGAAAAAATAACATTTAAGAAATGAAAGAAATAACATATTTTAAATTATTTAAGAAATAAAATTAAATATCTAATTTAATTGGAAAAAAAAACTAAACAACATTGTTAAGTAATAAAGCAAAATATAATTTTCATTTAAATTAAAAGAACTGTGTTGTCATAATTGTAACATTTATATGCTTTTTTCTAAATATACTAAAATATTAAATAGTAATACATATATGTAAATAAATAAATAGGTGAAAAGATGTTAAAAAAAACGTAAAAAATTAGTAGTATTTTTTGATTGAAATAACTTTCAATATCTTTATTCAAATTATTTATTTTCAGATAACTAATAAAAGAAAAAAATTAATTAATAAACATTTTAGTCCTAATAATGTTTTTATTGCATATATGATATATGGAAATGATATTAATGAATAGCTTAGTTTTAATTTTCATTTGTGTACATAATTTAGTTTACTGTCTTAATCGTAACATTAGGAAAAATGCATATATTCTATATTCACCAAAATCTGCAAATGTAATATATTAAAAATAATAAATAAATATATAAAATTAGAAGGAAATCATATAATTAACTCAATTTTTTTTTTTTTTTTTTTTTTTTTTTTGTATATTTATAGTCCATTAAACCAACTTCCAGAAGATGGAGTAAGCCCCTGAATAATAACGTACTGATAAAAAAAAAAAATAAAAAATAAATGGAATTCTGAAAATCTCAAATTAAAAAAAATAAATATATAATAACAAAAAATAAAAAATATATTTTTATTTTATATACATATATTTTAAAATATATTTATATATATATATTTATAAATAAGTGTATGTTTCTCCATTTTATTTAAATAATTATCTTATTTTATTGTCAATTTTTTTTAATGAATAAAAAAATGTAATAATTTACAATAAAATGAAATCCTTTTTATGCAATTCTGTTAATTTATGATATATATTTAAGTGTATTTTGAATTTCTTTCGTTTTAAATGAAATATTTTATTGATATTTAAACAAAAAATTAGAATTCACATAATATAAATGAAGGGGAAAAATCCACTGAAGATTTTTACAATAAAAATATTGATAATCATTATAACTTAAAAAATTTCTCTAAAGATGTAAATAATAATATATATATAGAAACAAATAGAAGAGAAAGAAGAATAAAAAGAAATAAGTATTTACTGTCTCTATACAATAATACTAATATAAAAACATCTAATTTCATTTATCCTTTGTTTATTCATGAAGAGGTATTTAAAATAGTTAATGATATTATATATACATATATATATATCTATATGTATATTATATTTTTTATTTCATTAGGAAGTAGAAAAAAAGAAAACAAAGTTAGATGGAATCTATACCTATAACTATGAAGGAATAATTAAAGAAATAGAAGAATGTCTAAAACTAAATATTCATCATTTTATGTTTTTCCCAGTTGTAAATGAGGAAAAAAAATCAGTATATTGTGAAGAATGTTACAACGAAAATAGTTACTTTTGTAAAACAATAAGTAAAATAAAAGAAAAATATTTAGATGATATAGTAATTTATGTTGATGTTGCTCTAGACCCATATAATATTTATGGTCATGATGGAATATATGATGAAAAAAAAAGAGAAATTATAAATGATATTAGTGTTCATACCCTTGTAAAACAAGTAATATAATTAATTAAATGAATTTTTTCCCCTTTTTTTTTAATGATATTTACCAATTGTTTGTATTATGTAGTTTTTCAAATTATGTGATTATATAGATGTATATATATTTCCTTTATATATATATATATAATTTTTTTTGTTCTCATAGTCTTTATGTTTAGCTAAGAGTGGCGCTGATGTTGTTTGTCCAAGTGATTCAATGGATAATAGAATTGAGAAAATTAGAAAAAATTTAGACTTTTATGATTTTAGACATATTTTAATTTTATCATATACTTGCAAATATTCCTCATGTCTCTATAAGCCATTTAGATCTATATTAAATTCTAATATATCAAAAAATTTTGTTAAAAATAAGCAGTCATATCAACACGATTTCAATAGTTATATAGATCTTAATAATGTAGAAAAACGTAATATATATATATGTATATATATATTTATTTATTTATTTATTTATTTAATTCTAATTTAGAGTTAATTTTTCCATGATATTCTATATAAATGTGTGTATATACTTCATAATTTATATAAGAGAGTATTATTTAGTTATGCATATATATTTATAAATATACTTTTTTCTTCCTTTTTTTTCAGATATTAAGGAGGGTGCTGATATAATAATGGTAAAACCATCTATGTTTTATTTAGATATAATTGAAAAAATAAGAAATAGAATAAGAGATAATGTAAATGTTCCAATAGCTGTTTACAACGTTTCTGGAGAATATATGATGATTAAAAATTATGTGAAATATTTGAATGAAAATATAAATTATGAAAATGAAATTCTAACAGAATTATTTAAAAGTTATTTAAGGGCTGGGGCAAATATAATTATTACCTATTTTTCTAAGCAATATGGAATATATATGAAAAATTTATATGAAAAGAATATAAAAATAGAAGATAATTTTAATAATAATTTTAATATTGAGTTAACACTTTAATAAAAGTATTCACAAATAAATAATGAATGAAACTAAAAATAGTTCTAGTTTAATAATGGATGTAAATTAATAAAATTTTATATAATAGCAATATTATTATAGATAAATTATGTGTATAAACAAATGATGACAACAAATTTACAAGAAAATTATAGATTATATATATTAAAAAGAAAATATAAGATAAAATAAAGATTTATATATATTTATTATGCTTTTTTTCAAGCTTAATTTTTTTTTTTTTTTTTTTTTTTATATAATGATATTTTTATTTTGTTTTTTTTTTTTTTCTTTTTTCATCTATATTTATATAGAAAATATTGAAAATTTTTTTAAATATACCAAAAAAATTATATATATCACAAGTATATATGTATATGCTTCTACAAAATAAAATTATCCTATTAAAAGAAAAAATAAAAATCCAATATTTCCTGTTTAAATGAAATATTTTTGTCTTTTAACAAATTTTATAGATGAATGAATTACATGAAGATGAAGATCTAATAAAATTTAAATTATCGAACAGCTTAAATAGTATAATATACAAAAAAAGGAAAAATGTAAATAAAAAGAAATTTATCCTAAATAATGAAAATCATGTAATATTGCCTTCACATAAAATATCTGATGAATATAAGAAATGCATTAATCCTATTGATTATAATTATGAAGAACTTCATGTATATATGGAAGTAAACACAGGAAGTGTGAACGAAAAGAAAAATCAACAAGGAATCAGTCATTTATGTGAACATGTTTCATATATGGGATCACAGTAATTTGAAAAAAACAAAAAAAAAATATTCATTTTATACTTATTTAAAAAAAAATAACATATTTTTCTTAGATTATTATTCATTAAGTAATTTATCTTAATATTATTGTTTCATATATATATATATATATATATATATATGTATAATATTTCGTATTATAATTACTATTATATTTATATAATTTTAATTTTTTTTATAGAAATAGAAAAAATATTATTGATAAAAATATTAGAACAAATGCCTATACTGATTTTCATCATATTGTTTTTTATATAAGCGTAAGTCTAAATAATGATATTTATAAGGAAAATTCCTTTGCCAATTTTAATCATGATAATTTTATAAAAAACATAAGAGAAGAAGAAATTGAAAATTATGATATTTATAGTGTCGATGAATTTAACTATAAGCACTCTATTTTATCTCAATGTATTGATACTATGGTAGAAGTTTTAAAAGGAGAAACCCAGTTTAATAAAGAAAGGATAAAAAAAGAAAAAAAGGCTATTTTTTCTGAATATAGTATAATTAATACTGTAGAGTATAAAATGAATTCAGATATTATTAAAACATTACATAAAGAAAATAGGTATGTATAAATATAAACTAATATTATAACATGATTAAAAACATTTTATTTTTACTTATATTTTATTATTCTTTATAGACTTAGTCATAGGTTACCAATAGGGAAATTAGAATTATTAAAAAGATATGAAGAAAAGGATTTAAAAGAATATTTTGATTTATTTTTCAGATCAGAAAATGTAAATTTATATGTATATGGAGATGTAAATGTTGATATTACACAAAAATTAATAAAAAAAAAATTTGAAAGTATAAAAAATAAAATTTTATCTTTTGAAGATATAAAATATTTAAATATATTAAATAATAACACTCTAAGATCAAAAAATAAGAACTTTCCAGCGGTTGTACATAATTTTAATAATAACATTGAAAAAAATTATATGAAGAAGGATTTTCATGAGGCAAATAATACCTCTGTTAATACCTGTAATGATAATATTATAAATGAACATAATTCTAATATAAGCGAATATTTTACGGATGATGACTTTGTTGATAACAGATACATAGATGATAATATTATTGACGTTGAAAAGCTGAAAGAGATAAAAAAAAATGAAAATGAAATTATGAGTGAATTAAAATTTAGATCTTATTTAAAGAATAAATATGCCGTGAATATAGAAGAAGAAAAACTATTAAATAAAACCGAATTAAAAAATATTATTACAGATTTTGAAATTATTAAATATTCTTTAAGTAATGTTAATATAAATATTTTATTGAAAGAAGAAATTAAAAGTATAAGAACTTTTGAAGATTTTAAAATATCTGTAATAAAAGAAATAATTTTTTATTGTTTGTCTTTTCGTTTTAATATACATAGAAATGATCTATTTAATAGCATAGATATTAATGAATATACAAATATAAATGAAGGAGCAACAATAAGAACTATAGAAATAAAAACAACAACAAAGTCATTTGAAAAAACTATAAATGTGTTTTATAGTTTTATAAAAAGCTTACTATTATATGGTTTTAGTAGAGATGAGATACTAAATTATAAACTGAATGAAATTGATTATGACGAAGAAGAAGAAAATAAACAACATATATCAAAAAATATGAAATTAACACACCCAGAAAAATGTGATGATGAATATATTTTAGATACAAAAATAAATGAAACTTATACTGACGAGATTCAGAAAATAATAGATTATAACTCTTGTAATCATGTATATATGAATGAAAAAAGAGAAAAAAAATTGAAAAAAGAAATTTTTGATCAACTAAAAATAGAAGAAATAAACACATTTGCTAAATATTATTTTCAATATTTGTTTAATATATTCAACAAAAATACAAATTTTAAGCCCCATTGTGTTGTTGTTCATGTTCCTCATAACAATATCAATGAATTTAATAAAAATAAAATTAAAAAATTATTTTTTGACAATATTTACTCAAAAGAAGTAGTACCAAATTTTTCAATAAATATTCAAAAAAAACTATTGTCTTCTGAATATATATTTGAAAACATTACTCAAAATATACATCTTGCAAAATATATAGAACCAAACTCAAATAGTAATATAGATATATTTCATTACATTATAAAGAAGATTAATCAAATAAAAAAAGATAATGTTCCTATATACAATCCATACAGTTTAAGTACTACCCCTAATTTTAACTTATTTAAAAATTTCTATGATATCAATGTTGAAGACAAAAATAACAATGAAATAGACAAAAGAGAAAAAGAAAAAAATGTTAATGAATTTATGAAAATAGAAAATAATCAAGATAATAAGTATAATGAAGATTTAGGAGAATTAAAAAATGAATTAAATAATAATACATTACCAAGTATTAATGACAAAATTTTAAATGATAAAATAGATTTTCCAAGTTTAAAAAGTCATATATTATCAAAAAAAAATCAAAAAGATGTAGAAAATTATGAATTAACAAATGGTATAAAAGTGAATTTATATAAAACCAAGATAGATAAAAAAAATATATATTTAAGATTAATAATCCCTTATAATAAAATTTTGCAAAAGAAAAAGCAAAATGTTTTTGTTTTATTATTTTCTATTATATGTTTATTTGAAGGTGGTGAAATAGAAAATGTTTGTAGAGAAAATGTAGAAGTACATTGTAGTAATAAAAATATCAATATTTATATTGATGTAAATGACGAATATTTTTTCATTGACATATATACTTATAATAAAAATGAAAATATTAATTCAGCTTTTTCCATAATAAATAATATTTTATTACAAACAAAAATAGAAAATTCTTCTTTACAGAGAGTTATTGATAAACTAAAAAAGGATTTTTTTGAATATAAAAATAATCTTCAAGTAATAATAAAATATACAACAAAATAATATATATATATACTGTTATATTATTGTATAAATAGCTATTATTTATATATATTTATATATATATATGTATTTCTTTTTTTATATAAACTTACCATATTTTTATTTTAATTTAACATTACTATATATATTTGTTTACTTTCTTATTTTTAATTTTTGTCTTATTATTTTTTTTTTTTTTTTTTTTTTTTTTTTTTGTAGTCTTTTTTGATAGGCCAAACAATTTCCTATTTATCTGATGGTTATATTGGTTATCAGAATTTTGATTTAGATACTGTAGAAAATATAAGTTTAGAAGTTGTTCAAAAAGAATTATTGAACTTATTTAGTGATTTATCATTATTTGAAATAACTATTGTTGGAAACATTTCTGATTTTATACATTATTATATTTTACATTTTCTGGGGACAATAAAAAAAAAAAGAGAGAAAAAAAATGATAACATAAATGATAATGACCATAAAGAAGTAAATTCATCGAAAAATATCAAAATAAAAGATTATATAATGAATAAAAATATATTATCAAATCATAGAGATAAAGAAAATGAGCTATTAAATGAGTATAATTTATTATGCCCTATTAAAAATTTTGATAAAAAATCAAAGGAAATAACTTATGTTTATTTAAATGAAAAAGAAGAACATGGTGTATTTTTATTAGCAGGAAAAAGTGCAAATAGCTATGGATTTTTAAGTAATGGTATTCATATATCTTTTTATCTATTATATTTTTTAAAAGAGCTAGTACTACGATCAAATAAATCAGAAAATAAAGAAAATATTTTTGATAGAGAATTAGAAAAAATAAAAAGTCATATAAATTCAAACGAATATAAAGAAGAAAATCTCAAAGATTTAATAAAAAAAAAAAAAAAACTATATACAAATCCATTATTTTTTAGTATAGTATCATATATTATTCAGTATGTATTAAATAGCAAACTTTTTCATTACTTGAGAGAAAAAAAGGAACTAACATATGATTCATCTTTTGAATTTTTAAATTATGAAAAATATTTCACGGGATTTTTTACATTAATAGTTCAAACTAATCCAAAAGATCTAGAACTAATAAAAAAAGAAGTATTATTTTGTTTTGAAGATTTTACAAAAAACTATTACAATTACTCCGATTATTTAATTGAAAATGCAAAATTGTCTTATTTAAATAAAAAAAATAAAGATTTAAAATATTTTATTGATAAAATAAGTGGGATGCAATTAACACACTTTCCTTTAAAATATAAAAACAAATATATATTGAAAGATAACTTAATATTAAATAAAATTGAAAAAGTAGATATTCTCTTGGTTTTATTTGTTTTATTTAACCAAACTAATAATTATCATATTTCTTATGGTATTTCAGCTCCAGAAGATATATGGAAAAATAATTATAAAAATATAAATAATCTTTAATAATTCATTGTTTACTCAAATATATAGAAATAGTAAAATCTTAACCAAAATTTGTTTATATATAAAATAATTTTTAACTTTCAAAAAAGAATAATTAAAAAAAAAAAAATGATAAAATTTATTTTTATATTTTTAAATATCTTGCTTTAAAATTAATTCTATGTATTATTATTTTTAGATATTTTTTTTTTTTTTTTTAAACCTTTGTTAATTTTATTTTATATTTTTTTAAAAATATATATATTTTTTATTTTATATATTCACATATTTTTCCTTTTATTTATTATTTTTTATTGTATTTTTTTTTATCTTTTTTTTTTTTTTTTTTTTTTTTTTTTTGTTGTTGTTGCAATGAAATTTTTCATGTTAATGATTTTATTATGTTTAAATACTTATTAAATATATTCTACTATGGAATAACACAGTGTCAAAATATCTTTAAAGTTTTTTGTACTAAATAATATATTATAATCTACATTTTCATTAATACAAAACTCTGCCGATGATTTATCTATATTTATAACTTCTCTTGCTATTTTTTGATAGCTTTTTTCTATGTCTTCATTGAGATTCCATTTTAATGGAGAATAATAACGAGGTGCTTCTAAGTTTTTAATAATCCAATTAAAGAGCTACAAAAGAAAAAAACAAAAAAAAAAAAAATTTAAGTAAAAATACAAAATAACAAAAAAAAATTTGAATAAATAAAAAATATGTTGATTAAATTTTTTTTTTTTTTTTTTTTACCTTTTGAGAAACATCTAGAAAAAACATATTTTCATTAGTTATTTTATTCTTCAATAATTTATTATTTTTAATATTGTTTATAAAAACTTTTATGTTATTGTCATACATACCTAAATTATATATTTGAAAGATGAAAATGGAAATTTCTCTCAATGTTTGACCAAATATTATTAGGACCTTTTTGTATAAAGTACTTTTAATTAAAGATTTATTTACATTTTGTTCATGGACATAAAATATATATGGATATAAAATTGAATTAATAAATAAATCTAAGCACAAAGTTAAAGTGTGTATACTAAACTTTTTTTCATTTATTGTGTTTTTATTTATTCCGTCAATTTCGTCATGTATTAAGTAAAATATAAATCGTATACTTCCATTTAAGTCTTTATGAGCTATATTCGTTAAATCATTTATTAGCTTTTCTATATAAACATACATATATTCTTTTATTTTTTTTAATATTACCAATTCATCTTTTTCTTTTTCATATATATTTTCATTATTTTTTTTTTGAAGTTTATCTCTTGACCATTTATCATCTGCTAATATATCCTCCCCTTCATATATATTGCATTTTTTTGATAAAATTTTATTTCCACTTTCTATATTATCAATCTCTTTTTCTTTATTTTCATTCATTTTTTGTTCATTATTTAATTCATTTTCTAATTCCTCAATAAAATTATTTGCTTTCACTTTTAAATTTTCATTATTTTCTTTTTTTATATTTAATTTACATTTTTCTTTTTGACCTAAAAATGTTTTATATAATTCGGTACTATCATTTTTTACATTTTCAATATCTATTAAAAGTTGTTTTTCATTTTTTTCTATCTCTGAAAAACACATTTGTATATGTTTATCAATTATAAATGATAATTTAAAATTTTGAATACATAACAAAGTGGTTACATTGTCCATTAATTGAGTAACTTTCATTTTAGTATGATAATCAATATTTTTTTGTAATAATGTATATATTTCATGTTTAATTATATGTTTAACAAAATCTTCTAAGCTATTGTGATAATTTGATATATTTAAAAATGAGGAAACTAATTCTAATGTATTATAACTATATTTTGCCTTTAAAATGTGTATGATATTTATATATTTATAATTTAACAAATTTTTCCATAATTCATTATAAACATAAGAATTTTTTAAAATTGATTTTTCTAATAACTTTTCATTTTTGAAAATTCTAAAGAGAAAATTACAATTAGCTAATTTATCATTAGTTATCTCATCAATACAAGAGTAATTGTTTTTGATTTTTATAATTTCATCAATATTTTGTTTTTCTATTCCATATTTATTAAATAATTTATCATCATCAATAATTTTATCTTCATGAATATCTTTTATTATATCATCTTCATCTATATCGCAAATATATTTTTCTGTTAAAGAATCATTATTTTTATCATTCTTAATGATTAATTTAGAATATTTCACATTTTCATCTCCTTTTTCCTGATCATTTAATAAGCTACTTAATTTTATGTCTTCATGTATTCCTAAATGTTTATCTTTATTGTTAAATATATTAGTGAAATTATATATAGATTCTAATTTATTTTCATTAATTTTAAAGTTATTTTCTTTATCCTTTTTATCTTTTATTATTAAATCTATATTTTTATTATTACTTAAGTTTAATTTATAAAAATTGTCCTCATATATATATAAGTCAGAATTAATAAAAACTTTTTGAAATATCCATTGAGGAGTATATTTAACTAAATTTATTTCTTTTGTTTTTGATGTTAAAAAATGTGTAAGAAGTTCATGTTTTTTCTGATATAAAATGAAATCTGATAAATTCAAAGATAACTTTGTATGAAAAAAAAAAGCTTCTGTCCATTCAATAATTAATAATTCAGATAAAATGGATCTTTTTAATGCCATTAAAAAATCCACCTTTTTTTTTTTTACTGTTTTTAATTCATTTATAATATATTTATATAAAGTGTCAATCCTTTTTTGTAAAGAGGTATAATTTGAATAAATTTCAGATAACAATTTATGTTTTTTTTTTAATAAATTTAATATTCTACTTTTTCTATTTTCTAAATTTATTTCACTTAATGATCTTTTTCTATTTGACAAAATAAAAGCATCTTTTATGTTTGTTATTGGATGATTACGATAATTGTTACTAGAATGATTTCCTATTAATAAACAATTTGAACAAAGACTATAAAAACATTTCATACAAACATTTTCTACTAATTCATGAGGATGATAGGGACATTTGCCAAATTGATATGGAGATTCAGATATATGAATTCTTTTATGATTTTTTAAAATTTTATTTTTCTCATGATACTTCATATCACAAGTATCACACAAATGAGCTTTATCATTATAACAATAAAAAATCGCTCTAGCAGTATAACAGTATTCACATGATGGGATACTGACATCAATACGCAAACATTTGAATTCAAATTCAATTAAATATAAAGGTAATATTTGCTCAGAATTTTTTACTTTATAAATATAGCTGTAATATCCATTATTATTTATACATGTAGTATTACTGTAATTATTTATATTTATTCTTTTTTTATCTTGTGAATTATTAATTTCATAATATAAACTTTTCTCTATAGCAATTGAATCATAGTTATGAGGTATTTCTTCTTTTGTCATAAAATGAAAATTATTTTTATTTAATAAAAGAGTTTTATTGGGAACAACTTTAAATAAGAAAACTTGAAATATTCCATTAGTGTTTTTTTCAAATCCTAATGGATAATCTGCATTTCCAATTGTGTATTCAAAATTTTTTATTTGATCATAATTTTTTAAAAAGTATTCAATTATATTTCCATTTGTGTCTATTTCATTAGTATCTCGTAAGCTAATTAATATATTACTCTTCAAGCATTTTGCTACTTCTTCAAATTCTTTTTCATATTCAGATTTCACTAATCTATGCATATGTAAAACATTTACATTACTGCTAAAAAAAGATAACTTTAATATGTATTCATAATACATTATTAAGTTATAATCATTAATTTTACTTATCTCAAATATATTATTTATATGATTGTTATCCTTTTCATTTAATATCCTATTTTTTATTATTATCCTATTATATGCTTTTTTAAAATCTTCATTTTCCTTATCAATTTCTTCTGAATTACTCATTTTGTATATTTATGATTTATGAATTTATTAAAAAAAAAAAGAAAAAAAAAGTTTTTCTTTTTTACTATTTTAAAATTTTTCTTTTTCTGTAAGTCTTAATATTATTTTTCATATTTTTATGTACTTTTTTATTTTTTTTTTTTTTTATTCTTATGTATTTTTATCTTTATTAGTTCATATATATTTATTCTCTAAGTTAAACTAAATGTAAAAAAACTATTTTTCTGTTGTAATCAAATATAAATTTTTTAAATTAAAAAAAAAAAAAAAATAAATTAATACAATAAAAAAATACTAAAATGTGTAAAACATGAGGAAACTTTTTATTCAATATTTATTTCTTGAAAGAAATAAAAAAAAAAAAAAAAAAGAAAAATACATTAGAATAGAATAGAACAAAATAAAATCAGATAAAATAATTATATTCATATTTTTTTAATTTTATTCATTTATATTTTATTCTTTATATTATACTTAAAAATTCAAAAAAAATGAAAAAAAGAATTATAAAATTTTCTAGTTTTTTCGTATTCCTAAAATATTTTAGACAATTTTCATTAATTAATCTTTATTATTTTTTTTTTTATTCTTTTATTTTAAAAAATAATAATATTGTATTCATATTATTTTGTTTAAATAATAAAATTTGTTCTTATTTTCGCAAAAGAAATATTAAAGCAGAATTTAATTGAAAGTTAATTATATAATAATCTTAGATTTTTATTTTAGATAAAATTTTTAATTCCATTTACATAATAAAAAAAAAAAAAATAAAAAATAAAATACATGAGGATTTAGTAAATTTTATATGTTTTGCTATCAAAGGAACAAATATATTTTTAATAACTTAAAACAAGAATATTTTATTTGATTAAATTTTAAAAAAAAAAAAAAAAAAATCACATAATGTCAGATAATATTTTTATTTAAAAAGACAAAATTTTCAAATAATATAATCAAAATATATATAGGAGAATGTAATAAATTTAAAAAAAAAAAAAATGTTTACTTAGGACAACTAAAAATAGGAATATATATATATATATTTTTTTTTTTTAATATTTTTTTTTCCATTTATTTTTTTATATATTTTCTTATCTTCTAATTAATTTTTCTTTTGTATATGTGGAACAATATTACACATACAAAAAGAGCAACAAATAAAATAATTAATACGATTATTCTTACATACAAATGATGATATTACTTATTTAAAATATAAATATAGTTTTATATATTAATGATTTACTTTGTAGATTTATTATAAGTTCCATTGGTTAAAACCAAAAGAAAAATATTTTCAATTTTAATATCTGCAACTATTCTATAATTTTTGAAGTTTTAATATTTTATTTTATATTTTGTCCTATTTGATTTATATTTCAATTGTTAAAATAAATTTTCTTTTTTTTTTATTCTATATGACAAGTACATTTGAAGCTATATAGTTAATGCAATATTATTTAAAATATTTTTACATATTCTTATTATAATTTTATTATATTTTTCAAAAACATATTTATTAATATATTTTTATATTTTTTTATCTTTAATTATATTTACACATATAATGTATATTATTAAAGTATTAAAATAACAATTTTCACAATTTTATTTTATTTTATTTTATTTTATTTCATAATTTTATATTACACACAAATAAAAAAAAAAAAAAAAAAAAAAAAAAAAAAAAATTTTTTTTTTA